TATTATCAATGGAGTGCATTGATCAAACAATGCTGATTCAGTTGTAGTAGGAAAAGTTTCTGTTCTGCGTTTCTGCCAGCATCCGCTTCCACTGCAATTGTACATAGAAAGAGGTTTTTAAAACTTTGCCAAATCATGAGTAAAACAGAGAAAAAATGGCTCTAAAAATACGCAGTGTAGTGAAAGTAAGATCAGGCACACCATCGAAACGATGAAGCATTTGCCAAGCGATCGAGCGACACAGCTAAAAGAATAACGTGTTGTCTCAATATAACTAGTTGCTACATAGTTCTGCTCATGGACTATGCAACTGGCCACAGGTCAGGAAACACACCGACGGCTGCTTTGTCGCGCAAGCAGCGCTCAAATTCTGTGCTCCACAAGAGCTCTCAAATGCTAAAGTAACAAGCGTTTACGTGTTTCAAGTGTAGTCGGGGAAATTGGTAATCGCCTGTTGCCAACAATGGCAAGTTGATGTACTCTGCGTATCGGTCGCTCAACAATTTAACACATGTTTTTAAGGCGTAACCAAAATATTTGCCAACAATCGTTAGTGCTAGTGCCAGTGACTTGTAGCAGCCACTGGCATATGAGAAATTCAAAAACAAAGTCCCCGTTGACATTGCGGGATACCTACGAGATACCTTTTGCAGTGTTTATGGAAGCTCTAAAAATGTGCAAGGAAAAAGAGAATTGAATGAAAAGACAAGAAATCAAAGACTAAAAAGCGAAATGCGAAAAAGAAGCCTGTTTTTATATCATCAAGAGACATAACAAAGCGTAAGAGACAAAACTTGGGTCAAGGTGAGCACTTGCAAATAGAGCGTGATCTAAGGAATAGAATTATATAAAAAAATTCAGAAATTTATGTGAGGATGGGGGAAATTGCGAAGATACATAGATTTGTCTGCTCTCGCACAATCTAGGGTGCTCCCAGGTTGCGTGCTCCCAACCTAAAATCGAAAAACACTTACAACTCCTCTCGTTCACACGATTTCATAAGTTTCCGTACTTTTCTTTCGATCAACGCCGCTGATGTACACACCAAATTTGGTGGCTCAACATTGCTTACTCGTTGTAAACAAACCGATTATTTATATTTGTGAGCGTAAAGGTTGTGTTTTGACACGTTGAGATCGTGTGCACACAGCCTCTCAGACAATCGCCGGGGGCAGGCGGGCACCGGAAAAATAGATTGCTGATCTCTTGCACCCCGCTCGCGGATTTTTTGGAAAGCAATCAGGATTTTTCGGAAGACCGCTTGCTGAGTTCTCGATTCCTCAGAGATTCAGCAATATATCTGCAAAAGATAAGAGCGAAAAAAAATTCAACAGGCGGTCTCTCAAAAATCCGCTGACTCAGCAAGCGTTCTTCCGAAAAGTTCTGATTGCTTTGCAAAAAATCCGCGAGCGGGGTGCGAGAAATCAGCAATCTATTTTTCCGGTGCCCGCCTGCCCCCAGGGATTGTCTGAGCTTGTGAGCTTTCGTGTTTGTAACGTCTTTATCTACCTGTAACTGGTAAAATTATGTTAGACTTTCTTGAATACGGGCTCGCTAACAATAAGAATTATAGTCAGAGTTGCGCAAGAGGTCAGGCACAAGTTGTTCGAAAACAACCCCCCCCCCCTCCCATGAAAGCCTAAAACGACCCCTTCTTCCTCCTCTTGACCTTCGGATTCATCAAAGTGTGACATTCTGGAGAGCATCATCTTTTTCTAGAGAGTTCTCAGATTTTTGAGACTGTACACCTTTTTCTGTGACTGCACTTTACAATCCCACGTAACTTAACGGCTGATTTTGATCTGAATAGACCTATTGAAAGGGCCATAATCTATCTGGGGGTGGGGCGTTCGGCTCCAAATTTCCACTTTTGCAAGAAGAAGCCTATGAGCTCAATACTCTAACGCGAGACTAACATTTTGGCAATACTTCTTTTCATTATTTGCAAGGATATGAACTCTAAGTTTTACCCTATACTGATGAAGAGTAATACTTCGTTATGAATATAAAAAGCAGACCTCTTTCATTTTCGTGACCAAGTCAATCATGTTCAAAAATTATGTTTTTTAGACTTTAGGAAACACTAGAAAATGTGATAGATAATGGTTTGTAGAGGTTGTAGAGGTGATTTGGCATGCAAAGGAATTCGTAACCAAATTAATAAAAATTTACTTTGGTGACCTTACGGGATGTGTAGAGCAGAAAAACCGAGATTTGGCTAACAAATAATACTTCGTAAGTAAGGCTGTAAGACTTCGTTAGTCAGCATGCTGTTCACGACAGTCATACTCTAGTGGAGTTGTGAGATTCACGGTTGAGCGCTTTTCTTCTTCACCTTACTCGATCGTAGTAATTCCTTGATTTTTTGAACAAATTCTCTTCATTCACGACCCCTCCTCCCTTGCTCTTACCCCCAATACGACCCCCAGTTTGGGCGCGCCTGACCCCACGCTCAACCCTGGTTATAGTTGTTGAAGTTAAACTTCATAATAATCAGTTTTCCTAGTGGAACTACGGGTCCCTCTTTGCTTCTCCCTTAAAAACTATATCTAGGGTGTGAAAGTGCCATCTCTGCTGAGCCCTGACTGGCATTCCTAGTTTCACTGACTCACCTTGGATACCTTCAAACATCGATTTGATAGCGATCAATAGCTATGTAAAATGCAGCTGCCAGTATTAGCGACGGTCATCACCGTCGCTAGCCGCTAATATAGCGGCAGCATCGCAACATCAGCGACGAGGAATACGACGAGAAATTGCTCTTTATGCACGCATTTAATGCGCATAGATTGAAAAGGTCTTTCCCAAAGTATAGCAGGTGGTGTTTAAGGTGCGGCACACAACAGCCGGATCCCCCGCCCCTTCCCCGGCATTATCGTATGCCTACCGTAAGCATATAAAACACCAGTGCATCACCTCCGCTTCGCGGAGGTTCGCACTGGCTCCCTATCCGTATTCCTTTCTCATGTTCGCATGAGAATGGCTTTGAAACTCACCACGCGATGCTGAGGATCACAGATGAATCGTAAACAACTGTTCATTCATGAAGCATCTCCATGTAAGCGATAATTTTGAGAAGAAAAAACTTTGTTGCAAGGAAACAAATGCGAATTTGAACGGCTTATTGGATTTTTAGTTTGATAATCGTCATAAGGATAATAGTCACCTTGGGCTACACTTCAGTGCAAAAATCTTTTCAGTTTTTTTTTTCAAATAAAACCTCAAATCGACTATCTACGCGTTCATCACTTTTTGGCGCTGTTTTCGAAAAAAAATCTTTAAGCATTTTTTGGGCTAGAACTCATGGCACGCAGAGTTACTTGTCAGGCAAATCATAACTTTGCAAAAAGTCGAATTAGCGACCCAGTTTTGCATGCCAAAAGGCGCCAGGACTCGTTTGACGCGCAAATTTTAAGGGACCCGCTTATCGAACCGGCTCATCCTTGAGCATGGTGGGCCTACACGCTGGCACGGTATGCTAATGGCCGGGCCGGGCATACTTCACGCGATTTCGGTCGCGGCGCGATTTGGCAATTCGCCATAAGTCTTCGGATCCAACATTAGCAAACTGCACATGCATAGTGTGTATAACTTACGTAAACTGATGAAATGCCCTATCTTTTGTACATTTATAATGTGCTTACAATGAGTTATGGACACTGGAATATTGCCAAATCGCTTCGCGATTGAAATCGCTTGAAATATGCCCGGCTTTTTATGCAAAATTGCAGCCTGATAGCTTAGCTGGAGCTTCCTCTATGAATTTCGTGACAGACAGATTTTCACACAGACACACAGACACACAAAAAACAGACGGCCTTAGCGCGTTATTATAGTAGGATAGCATAACATAAAGCATAGCGCATAATAACAACAAATTCCTCCTGAGGGCCGTTTTAGCGAATTGTAGGACTTCCAACATTGAGGCACTCAAGTGAAGTGGCATTTTTAACAAGGGTAGCTGTATTTCAAAAGTGAAATAGCTGCATCTTTTTGTACTCAAACAAAGCACTACTCCTCATTTGTCCATACTATAAATCCTGCTTCAAATAAACATCAAACCATGGAATTAGGAGCCAGCCAAAATCTTATCTGTCCCATTTTTCGCTTATAGTGTTTGGAATTCTAGTAACTATTGCCAAGCAAACAAGGCCAACATAGTTCTAATCACTTTCACAAAAACTACGATCCGGCTATTAAACTGTGCATATTTTGTAAGTATTTTTTTCGGAAGCAAGTTAATGGGATGTGTGACACAACCCCAGAAAAGCTGTAACTGCCACACCCTTTTAAGGGTTTTGCCATACCTCACTAACTTACACATACTGCGAAAATATTGGGTTGCGGTAACATGCTAAGTCTGCGCCGCTACGTATTCGCAAGAGGAGGCGGGGGGAATTGTATTCGATGGCCTAAACCTCTTAATATCCACAAAGTGATTTGGTCGTGTATGATCTTTTCTCTTTTAAGATGTTAAAAGCGAAAAATATGAAGAAATTTTGGCTTGCTCTCAGTTCCGTAATTTAGAGGTTTTTCAAAGTGGGATTCCTAATGTGAACAAACAAGTGGTAGTAACTCTGTATTAAATTAAGAAGAAGTGTTAGTCTCCCTAGAAACAAAGTTAACATGTTTGAAAATGAACATTTCACTTTGCCCCAATATCTGGAAACCTTAGAATTCGCTGAAACTATTCCCACAGAGCTTAATTGGCATGCTAGTTGCGAACATAATGCTCTTATGGTTCTAGAGCTCTTTTGTACGATGTGGTCCGAGACATCAGTGTGGTAGTTTGCATAATGGGTCTATTTGACATTGTTAACAAATATCATGTTGTCGCTAGTATGAGCATCACCTTGATAACGATCCCCCCTCCCCTCCCTAACCCCTCAATACGACACTCCAGGTGTGGACTCGGGCGGTGTATTTTTTTAGTTGTTTTTCTGTTTATTATGTCATTTCGTCATCGTGCATGACTGTATATAAGATATCGCAAAAATTTACACGAAGAGATTGTATCAGCATTTACAAAAAATAGTTTCTTGAGTTCAAACAAGGATATTTTCGAGTCAAACTTTAGCGTAGAAACTTTGGATCTGTAGGTAGCTGTCGCTCGGGTGATATTGCCTCTGGCCTGAGAAACGCAAAGTTATGAAAACAGTTTCTGGAGACACTGTAGTACTGACTCATTTGGTGTTCTGTCATCCGGCTCATCAGGTATGCCTCCAAGAACGAATGGTTTATACCTTTCTCCCATCAGCCACCCCAGTGTAAAAAATGGAATATAGTCTCTAAAATTTTTTTTTAAATCTTTTATTCTAGTCGCAAGTATTACTATACAAACCTGTTTTTGTTCAGCAAATCGGTGTAATTCAAGCTTGCTCGGGGAATTCTGGAAAGATTGGTGCCATATAAACATTGCCATTCGTAGGCGAGCATTGAAATGACAAGGGATGCAAGCCCAGAAAAGAAAGGACTAGCATAAGCGATTGTGTTTAAGAAGACTCTAAATGATACTAATCAATGGTAAATGAGATTAGAAAAAGAGGCCCTTTGAAATCGCTCATAATAAAAACCCGAGTCATTGACTTTTTGCCCAGGTACTCGTAACAGTTCGCCGTCCAAATTAGAAGGAAAGCCTGAGGATTTCAGGTTGAAAATTGTATATGCGACCGTTTGCCTTGGATGCAAATCATGTATCGCTCGCAGATAAATCTGCACAGACAAATCTACGTACAAGGTGGCATGCTGCGAACTTCGCAGGGTTTATAAATGACTCGTAAATTAATTCTCATATTTCATTACAACATCTCTCGCTCGCTTATAAGCGATTCAAAGGAGCCTCATTCAAATGAATGGAATTGATCAGAGATACATTAAGAATCCCGTGGAGGCAACGATGCCTAAAGCAGCTGTGAACTTTGAATTTGAGCCTCTTGGAACCTGCGATCTACAAAAAAACTTGCCAATAGTTAACACATATAAAAGGCTTTTATCTTCACCCACGTGTCAGTAGTATCAGTTCTTTCGTCATCAAGAAGTTTCAAGTCCTTTTCTGAGAAAGCCAGTTTTACATTGAATGTGCTGCGAAGTTGATGCATTAGATCGAAGGTTACTTGGAATCGAGTGATACCTGTCCGGAAACTCGATAACATCTTCTGGACGCTTTTTCATGGCGGCATAAGGAGAGCGTACCAGATATTTGTAAGACACTAATAAAATGATCCTCGCTTCGAAATGATGTATTTTAAATACTTACTTCGTACAAGCGTAAACAGATCTTGCTTCAACAAGTTAAGTTCAGATTGCAACCGGATTGGTAGTTTCATGTGATGCTCTTTAGAGCGCCTATATAAAGGACGAAGACGTAGCGGTTTTTATGCGTGACATTTCGCTGGAGGAATACAGCTTAGAAGAGCCAAAACAGCTCTGCCAATTGTCTGCAACGTTGTCAGCGCATAGCGGATGAAGACTACAGTATAATGCATACTCAGTTTGCGAAAGCTTTTCATACCATTCCAATCACTCAACTTCGAACGATTTTTTGAACATGTCGCCAAAACTGCTGGCTTTGCATTATAAGGTAACATGCCACTTATACTGGAAGAGATGCTCAATCAGCTTAGTGAGTAGCAGACAATGCTTACCATTGATTAGATAGCGCGGAGATTAGTCCAAACTGAAATTAATATTATCATTATATCACTATCATTATCATTACTTAAGAATAAAGCGCTAAGCGTCTGTCTGTTTGTCTGTCTGTCTGTTTCAACTCAAGACCTTCGCTACCACACGCTCCACAAAATTCATAGAGCGTGTTGTAGCGAAGGTCTTGAGCTGAAACTTTGGTCATAGCGCCCTATTAGCATGTAGGTAATAATGCAAAAGCAAAAGCCGATCCGATAATCGGAACCTTCAAAAACTGCGCGTCAAATGGGTCCACGCGACCTTTGGCCCCCAATGTGAGTCTGTGATTGTACTTTTTGCGAATTTGTGGATTTGCTCAACAAGTAAATGTGCAGATCATAGGCTTAATTCCAAAAAGTGAGCAAAATATCTATTTTTAAGCAAAATTAGCGCCAAGAAGGAGCGATTGGTAGATCATGAATTTGTCAAGGTTTTCAGCTAATTATTTGCGAGGATTTCTGCTCAGAAATGTAGGGGAAATTAGTAACTGTCTTTTGTGGAAACTACCCGTCAGTAATAACTTCAGTAACTAACCAAAATTCACTATTAATCTTCTATACAAGAATTTTCTCTTCTCAATTTACCGCTCCTACATAAAAAAGCTCATGGAATGAGTAGTTGTTTACAATTCGTTCATGATGGTCAGCATCGCATAATGTGTTTCAGATTGAACATCATGTGAGCAAGAGGAAAGCATGTAGATAGAGGAGCCAGTGCGAGCCTCTGCGAAGCAGAGGTGAAGCACTGGTATATCTAGAAGCACTGTTTTGGATTTTTGTAGACCTTCGCCAGGTATTCTTGTTACCATGACTAATAATGAAGCGCTAAGCGTCAGTCTGTTTGTCTGTGTGTGTTTATGTCTTTCTGTCACTAAGTTCATGGAGGGAGTTTAAGTCAAGATTTTCCCAAAATTTTGGCCATAGCACCCTCTCAGCGTGCAGGTAAACTGTGTAAAAGCACGAGCCGATCCGATAATGGGAGCTTTGAAAACCGTCGTGAAAACACTCTTGGCCCACAAAAGTGAATCGGTGTTTGTCCTTTTTCGAAGTTGTTTGTTTGCTTTACAAGTAAATACGCAGACCATGGACTAAAGGCAGCGTCCGGGCAGATATGAAAATGAAGAGTGCAGGGGCGCCCGTCTTGGTAGGGCTCTTGCCCAACTGGCAATGCACCAATTTGCTTCTGAAGGAGAAATCCGCTTCAGAATTGGCGACCGGAATGCCCCGGCGACCGGCGACGAGTTAGTTTGATGAGCCAGAGTGCGCATACCGCACACAGTCAAGACGTAGAGTCCCACAAAGACTCTGCGTCTTAACCTTGGCGGCAGGCGACAAAATTCAAACCAAGAGCTTCTGAAAAAGCCGTTTTCGGCATTTTCGTGTCCTTCAAGCTGCATTTTCAGAATCAGCGGGGAAATAAGCCCAGGTAAGAGGATAAATTTCCATACGAAATTTTGCCCGGACGCTGCCTCTATGCCTAAAAAGTGGACGCTAAAACGGAAGAATTGTGTAGGCCGTCACTTTGTCATGGTTTCACCTGAATTTGCGAAGGTTTTGCTCAGAAATGTGGGTGACGGAAATGACTGTTTTTGATGGAAGCTACGCAACCATAACCTCAGTAACTGACCGAAGTGCTCTTTTAATCATCTAAACAAGAATTTTCTTTTTTCAAAGTTACCCTCCTATAAGGAAAAGCTCATGGAATAAGTAGTTGTTCACAATTCGTTTATGCATTGCACGGTGAGTTCCAGATCCGACATCATGCGAACAAGAGGAAAGCACATATTAGGTCGTTCCATAAGTTCGTAGCGTTTTCATTTTCGTTCACACTTCTTTGGGGAGCGGTTGATATGTGGAAAATGCGTATATCATTAGAAAGGGCTGATAATGCTCTTTAATATGTACCTAATAATTCGAGAGGAAAGCTAATCTACTCGGATCTCTTGGCTTCCAATCTTAAAAGGCAAAAAGGAGCAATTTCGGCATTCGCGCATTTTTTTCTCGCATAAAGAAGCATTTTTGCACAGATTTTTGCTGATTATGAAACATGGCGTTCGCCAATCACTATGAGAAGAAGAATGTTTGAATTAATACAAAAGACGAAGAGACGAGCAGGGTATCCCTGAACAAAACTTTTCGGGAGATGGGCAGGACGTTCGCACTAAAAAGTGCTGGACACGAGGAAGAGGTCGATTATACCGTATACAAGCCAACTGCAACGTTATAACGAGGTCATACCGCATAAAAACCAAAAAGACAGACTCAGTGAGTTCTTCTGCATGACCAAACATGACTTCATAAGGCAAGCGTCGTCAAAACTGCAAGAAATAACTACGAGGTACTTCAGCACCCAAAATACTCCTTAAACCTTGTTCTATCAGATTATCATTTGTTCTGCTCTCTTGCAAACCTTATAGATGGTGCATGTTTCAATTTCAGTGAGTAAACTGAGCGCTGGTTAGATGACTTTCTTGGGACCCTGCGCGCTGCCGTTTGGAAAATTGAGATTGGAAAGCAGACAGGAATGTGGCAAAAGGTCGTGCATGACCCAATAGATAGAGGAGCCAATGAGAGCCTCTGTGAAGCGGTAGTGAAGCACTGGTAAAATTATAAGGTGTTTGAAATATTCAACGCGAAGCATCTTTCGTAAATGTACTGTAGCTTTAATTTCATACTCTCTAACATCTCACAGTGAACTACTTTCAAAAGAAATCTCTGCAGATTTAATGATTAATTTTGACATAGTTGTTCGAAGGCTTTGTTACCGGGCCTCTGTGAAAAGCAGTTCGAATCGTTTTGAATCTAACTAAAATGTTCTCCAACAACTAAACTTTTTTAGTTGGATACTCACTTAGATATTTAGATGCTTACTCAGATAATCGCCGGGGGTAGGCGGTCCGGAAACTCGCGCTTTTCTGCAAGCGGTCAGCAGGATTTTGGGGCGTGGCCAAACCTTTAGCGAGCGGCACTAACTTCAAGGTCTCATATTCGGCCAGCGGGCAGCTACAGCATTTTCCGCAAACGCTCGGCAAATAATTTCTTTCAGCCAGCGCTCAAACTCTTTTTATGCAATTTCGGGCGTAAGTCGAGTAAAGGTGAGACTATATGTGGCAGAGGTGTCATCGATGGGTTAGTTACCAGAGGGGTAAGCGAAGGTACCCTGGGCAGTGCGGTCCTTCACAAAGGACCATGCGGCTCTCAACAGATAAAGATAAGTTTATTTATTTATTTAATTATTTATTTATTTATTTATTTATTTATTGCAAGTTGCGGCCCAGTGGCCGCTTTTAAGGATAAGTTGCGGCCCCCAACAGAATCCATAGAAAGACCACGATAGTTCTCCGAGCGTTCGTCTAAAAATTGGCCATTCTAAATTTCTGCAAGCGGACCGCAAGAGATCAGCGAATATTTTTTCGGTGCCCGCTTGCTCAGAATTCATATGGCCGCCTGCCCACGGCAACTATCTGGGTAGGTGGCTCGTCGTCAAAAGACGTGCGGGCCCAACTCAGAAGTTTCAGTATCCTCTCTACCTTGCTTCCAACATACGCGATCTTCTTGGCTGTCGTCGACAACTTCGTGCACATTCCCAGAAGCAAAAGTTTCCAGCTAATCTCAGCTGGTCCATTCCTTCCACGAACACGCCTGCCCATCTCCTTGGAGCTCTTCCTTGGACACGTTTTGCTTCGCGAGGAATCCACTCCGACATTCTTAGTGACCATCTGTCGTCTGTTCTTCTCATGACCGGCCCATCGATGCTTCTCTTTCGCAACCCATTCCGCTAGGTTACGAAAAAGGGGCATTCTTCTCATATCCACACTGAGAAACCCGACGAGTCAGTAACATGTTCACATGTTACACAGTAGAACACATTTCTATATTTTTTAAGCTAGACAATGTTTTACTGGGAAGTTACTAATATGGGTGCCGTCGCTAATAGGGCTTAGTGTGCAATCCCACATATTAAGTTACAAATGACTCGAGGTTATACTGCCGTAAATCAATTACGCCTGTGTGCTCATTCGCGCTTTTGTGGTCACCCCGAATGGTCGTCATTGCGGTTTCTCCTCCCACTCTTTTATTTTGCTGTCTTGCTTCGGGTCGCGTTCTTGAATTTAAATAACATTTCCTTTTGAATTCTAACTTCTTTTGCACATGTTTGCTGCCATTTTTTGATTTGATTCTATCTTTGTCGTAGTTTTTTTTCGACTTGCTCGCTGCTGATTGATTGCTTTCTTTCAGTGCCTTCTTTGGATTAAGGGTCAAAAACAAAACATGGCACCTAAACGGTTAGGAAGAGCGCATTTGAAACCCAGTCAGCTTTTAGTTTGTCGATACTGGAAGTTAGACTAGTGATTATGAGCGCTCACCATCTAGAAAACACCGTTGGTGAAGTACTAAATATTATAAAAGTTAAATGAGGGCTTACGAGCTGTATCGATTAGGAAAGCCTAACCAGTCTCACCGCCGGCTGGTTTGTGTTTTTCCTTCTAGATACCGCTGGAAGCTTGCATTGTCGAATGCTCGTCTGTTTAAAAGTAGTAGTCTAACATCTATGTTAGACGGAGCAAGACGACGAAGGAGAGGGCTCGAGAGAATGCACTCAGGCAACAAGCCAAGAGCATAATAGGGACATGACCACTCGTGATTGGATTGTATACCGCAATAAGCTCCCTTGTAGAAGCTCGACAAACTTCGAAAATGGCATGGTATGACTGATTCTTTTCAGATATTAATTCTAAACTACCGGAGCCTTGAGACAAATTGGACCTATCTCAGGGCTTTACTTTATAAACATAGACCAAATTTGTTTTTGTTACTAAATCCTGGCTTAATGCAAGAATACCTGACTTCAAATTTTGGATGATATGCCTTACGTTTTGCATAGAAGTGATCGGAAGAGTAGCAGAGGTGAAGGCTCTGTTGCCTTGTAAGGGGTGAATGATATGAAGACGCACCAACCTTGAGTCAAATTGTTGTCGGATGTGCTGGTCGTTACTAATGTGAACCAACAGTCTTTATGTGTACGATTTTGCGACAAACCGCCCACCTTCTTCTGTTAGAGAAGATCATGATAAGTTGATGGATGTGATAAGCTCCTACGCTTATGCTTCTGATCATGATGATACTATAATTCTTGGATCCCAGTCTACAAATAGACTGAGTGGCAACAAAAGTTGCCAATAATACATCCAACTCACTCTTGAATTACTTTAAAATTGACGGCTTCAAACAATTTGCTTCTTGTCCTATGTACGGTGACCCTGTCTTGATTTGGTTCTCTTTGCTGCCGTCATAATTTCCAATGTCAATGTTCTCCCACAACTAGGTTCTTCGGATAATAGGATAGTTCAGTTTGAAATTGGGCGTGGAACCGTGGGTCCATTTTTTTCATTACCTGATTTTTCTGGTATTGATTGCAAGGTCCCGAACGAATTTCATTCAAGTATTAATTGGCTTGCGCAATTCGATCAACACGAGACATCATCGGAAGTTTGCCGTAGATTCTACAAGATAATCTATCACGTCCTTGGCATGTTTATTACAATAAGATATTATTCATATGAAACACTGAAACTACCGCCCCATATGTTTGCATTTAACATGCAAAAATGTCGCCTTTTTGTTAGATTGCATTATTTATTGACCATCCTTTACAAGAAAGTGTGCCATGACATTGAGTTTCGTATGAAAGTTTCTTGCTAACTGTGAGCGACGTCTTGCAATAATTTTCGGAGTGCGTGGCATTGCCACGCACTCCGAAAATTTCTTTGGTATGCTCTCTAAAATTTTCGCGGGCTCAGAAAACCCTGAAATTATAGAAAAAGGGGGCGTGGCGACAACCACGCCCCCGAAAAAAACGAAAAGACTATATTTTCGAAGATGACTTTGCATAATGAAAATTGGTTCAACGTAAAGGCAATGACGGCCTGTGCAGAGCTAGGATCTGATGTCGACCAACAAAGGCAGTTTGATAGGAGGTCATTGTTTCAGCTATCTTTTGAGGTAGTATCCACATCAAACACTGGAGCAGGGCGGCCAAAAATGCCAAAAGTGTTTAGATTTTGCAGAGTTTCGTGAATTAATGAGCAGGCCGCAGTTGCGATAAACGACTTGCTAAAAGTAGAGACATTCGCGTTCTGATTTTTTTATTGGAAAAAAATGAGGGTTTCAACGAGCAAAATACTGGGTCGCCCCGAAAGTTCTTGCGTAATTCAAGCAAAATTCAATAACTTTGTAATGCCTAAACCTAAATTCAGAATCCTGTTCTCCAAAAACATTAGAAGGCTTGCGCTCTATGATGGATGTTTAGGCATGAAATTCCATGAGCTAACCACTGAGAACGAAACTCTCAAAAATGGGGCTTCAAATTTTGCCATTTTGAGTTAGGTGCCAGAAAATCGCAGAGGGCTTCTAGCTATCCGAAAAAAATCTGTAAAATTTAGTTACACAGCAGAAGTCCATACGTTACTTTGTCAGGCTATGGAAATGCCCAAACAAAAAATTGTGAAATTTGTTATTTCACATAATAAATCCCCTTATTGCTGTAGTTTTTCCACAAAAACACAGACTGGAACCAGAAATTAGACATAGTGCCTAATTTAGACATTGCGACGCTTTTTGGAGTGTCAAAAAGTGTTTTCACTGAAAAAGTGCCGTAATGAAGAAATTTCCTCTGCAAGGTGGCTTTTTTGCAGCATTTCCATACGAGATCAAGGCCTGCCAAAGTATCGTATGGACTTCTGCTGTGCAAGCAAACTTTCTACAGATTTTTTTTCGGCTAGCTGACGCCCTCTGCGATTTTCTGGCACCAAACTCAAAATCGCAACTCAAAGCCCCAATTTTGAGAGCTTCTTCGCGGTGGCTAGCTCATGGAATCTTATGCCTAAAAATCCATCATAGAGCGCAAGCCTTGTGATGTTTTTGGAGAACAAGATTCTAAATCTAGGTCTAGGCATTACAAAGTTATTGAATTTTGCTTGATTTACGCAAGAACTTTCGGGACGACCTAATATAATACAAGCTTCAATTTGGATTTGCATAATCTGTTTAGTTACAAAGGGTTTTTTCACCTAGTCATTCTTTGAGCAGCAAGCTGCATAGGCACAAGTATTAGAAGACTAGAAGTTGTCTGCTGCATTATCACATAAACATATACCTTCACATTCCAAACATTTATGTATATGTATATTATGGTATCAACAGTCAAATTAAATATGATCACGAGGTATTACTTTTACAAAATCAATGTGCATAAAAACACTTCGTGAAGACATGGATATCTAACAGTGGCGGTCCCATGATCTCCGTCTGAGGGGGGGGGGGGGAGCAAAAAAATTTTTTTTCAAATTAAGGTGGTGGCGTTAGCCACATAATCCGAAAATTTTTTGGAGTGCTTATCAAGAGGGCCCCTAAATTCAGAAAAAAAGGGGGGGCGGCGGACCCGCCCCTGAAAAAAATTTTTACGAGGCTAACTTAAAACTTTTCTATTTCTGAAAATCAATTTTGATTATTTACGAGAATTAACGAATTACTTGCACATTTTTATAGCCCATGTAAGTAAATTTTAACCTCCCCCCCCCCCTTCCGTCTCGGTTCGCCACTGATATCTAGTAAATCACGAAGTCTAGTACCCGTACATTCCAGAAGACTGTCTCATCAATGATCTATGTGGGATTTCTCTGTTGAGAATGAATTGCATTTCCTCTCCATTTCCATCTTCAGGTAATCCATAACTTCCTCCTGAGAACAAGCGACACACAAGCGAATAGAGTGCGAGTCAAATATATCCAGTGCATAGTTTGTTAACAATATAAGAAGAAAGGCATACTCGCACAGGGCGACTGCAGGTGATACTGAAAATTGTAGATTTTACGGGGACCTTTTGGCAGCATGAATGAAATTATACAACTACTGAACTAGATTAAAGTTCTGCTATAAAAGCTTTTGCCGGCATTTACCGGCAACATTGTCGCATGAAGGAAATACCATAGAGCGCAATTTGAAAAGCGAGCTTTTTCTACCATTTTGCTCGTGGATTGTCAGCCTCACGGGCATAGCGATTTGTTCGCCTGCAAATTTGTCGACAAATGTCGGCACTGCGGGAATTGGCAACCAGACCTCCAGCTCTCACATTTTTGTATTCACAGAACGCAGACTATGTTGCAGGCTATACATAGGGTGAAAAAATAATTTTGAATCAAGCTTGAGAATTTAGCACTTTCAAGTTTTCTGGGAGACGATCAACAGGCGCGATTTCTTAGGCTATTAACATAAAAGCTCGGTTCAGGGGTTCTGTGAGCCTTCAGCAAATACCGAACAATGTGTTTCGCCTTGGTAGTGTTTGGTTGCTGCTTACTGAGTTTGACTGATTTTGATGAGGAGCTGAATAAAATGTTCAAAAATCCAATAGGCTGCATTTCCAAGAGTTTCTGAATCAGCAATTATGTATTTTTGTGGAGATAAAACCGAGTAACCCATGCAGATAAAGGCTGCTATCTAGGCATGACGAAGGCGCAGAAGCAGTATTAATTGAGCGGATGCAAACGCTGCGCGCGTATCTTCAGCGTTATAAATCCTGCGCCTCACGCGCTCTGCAGCCAATGAAACCGAGTTTGCGCCCAAAGGAATTACGCCTTCGTTATGCAGCGGCCTATAACTACTATATCTCCTCAGTAGTTTTGCATCTAGACGTTGTAAAAAACAAATTATAAGCTAATTGGTGTCCGGCTGCATTAAAAATCGCGCCTTTTGACGTATACCCAAGTTTTTTGTAGTAAGAGTGACATGTATCTCAGAAAAGGAATATATTCTGATATTGCACAAAAGCAGTCGGCGAAGCAATAAGATTTGTGATGAAACTGCTCTAAGGACGGTTTTATGATGTTAAAATGCGAGGAACCCTCTATGATGATTCTGGTCGTCAGAATTTGAAAAATTGGTTGCTTACCCATCTGATCGCAAACCACCGCGACTTTGAAGCTGTTGGCATTATCGAGTATACTTGTTGCGAAGGAAATGGTGAGAACACCGAATACGCCTCTTGTAATTAAAGAAGCTTTACTGGTCTAAAAAATAATCAGCTTATTCCATTAACATACCCACTAATCGCTTACTCACCCGTAATAAGCTTGCCGTAAACATTTTGAGAACGAATGTAAGCAGAGCAGTAGTAATAGTGGTCTGAATGAAGAAGTTGTCTGTAAAAATCTCCATGATTTTTCTACAGCTATTGCTAAAGTGGAATTACTACTTGCATTTTTGGTCCTGCCATATATGCAAAGCGTAGAACAAGTAGATTGCAATATTGTGAAGGACTTCATTTGCTATGAGAAATGGCGCCAGGATTTCCGACACCATCGTTGGGCTAGTAAAGAGACTGTATTTCAATGCGACCAATATCAGGAAGATGCGATGTGGAATGCTCAAGAGCAATGCTATCCGGATGGGCACCTAAAAATCTCATGAGCATTTAACTACATAGAATTTACTATCACTAGTATATAAGAGAGGCTTTGTATCAAGACCTTATAATAACGGGCTAATGGTTGTTTACGTGTTTTTGTGTGTGTGTGTGTGTCCGTCTGTTACGAAATTCGTAGAGCGTGTTCCAGCCAGCGTTCTAAGCCCAAATTTTGCACAGTGCATGCTCCCTTCCTGGAAGTCTAACATGCAAAAGCACAAGTAGATTCGTTGAGTGGATCCCTTAGAAATTGCGCGCCAAACGGATCCACCTGGCTTCTGTCCCGCAAAATTGGGTCCGTATCACCACTTTTTGCAAAGTCGTGGGTGTATTTGGTTAGCAAATGTGCAAACGATAAAGTTTAGCCAGAAAAGTGATCGAAAGTTTACTACATAACGAAAACGGCGCCAAAACGAATTGGTTGTGTAAATGGTCAATTTGCCAAGGTTCTAGCTAAGCGTTTGAGGAGATTTTCGCACAAAGATGTAGCTCACGGTTACTACTGCCTTTATGGCGACTACCAAGCCATGACAAGTTCAAAAACCTATTCAAATTTGCGTTTGTCTTCCTGTGAAAAGTTTTATCCACGCGAAATCACCGATCCCACGTGAAAAAGCTTTTTAAATGAGTAGTTGTTTACATTTTACTCGTGGTAGTCGGCATAGCGCGGTGAGTTCCAGTGCCACAATTCTACGAGAATGAGTAAGGCACGTAGATAGTGGAGCCAGTGCGAGCCTCTGCGAAGCAGAGGTGACGCACTGGTTCTATATAAGGACCTTTCAAGGGAGGTCAGTAACGACAGCCAAAGACGAGAAATTTTAAAACTTTTTCAATATCTTGTCAAAGATAAGACATCGGAAGAGTTGAAAAATTTCCAAGTGATCGAAGTTTATGTCAAGTACACCGTGACCACTCTTTTTTTGGAGGTTATCAAACACCTAACGATACTATCCAAAACATTGACTTCCTGTACAATTATGCAATGAGATCAGCGAGCATGGAAACCTTGCCAGAATAAGTTCTGTGCTTCGGAACTTCTATGGCAGCTGACTTACGATAAATTGCTAAAGTCTCTAGAATAGTCGACAATAAGAGATAGTGACCGTGATTTTTTCTGTAAAGGGAAGATGAACATCACCCGATATTATCGCCTCGCGATTCCCCGACAAGACAACTGCTATAGGGGCCTGCAGGATCGCGAGAGTCGGAGCGTACGGCCATTGCGTCGCGCACGTCAGATGTGCGTCCGACGACTCGACGGTGCCAGGCTTATCCTGTTGAACAGGTTCATTCGGTTCACACCTTTGCTGTTGAACAGTGTAGTAATTTGACCCATGAACCGAACCGTCCGGATAAGTCTGGCACCTGCCTAGTGACATCGGACGTGTGCGGCGCAATGGCTGTACGCACGTCTGACTCTCGCGATCCTGCAGGCCCCTATACGACTCCATTGCATGCCGATCATCTTGCATTTCGGTTGTGATAGTTTCACGATTAGTGGCCTCGACAAACTATCACAGGTAAAGTGCAAGATGTCTGGAATGCAATGAACTTGTAACTTGTCTTGTCGGTAAAATCGCAAAGCGGTGAGATCGCGTGATGAATGCTCGGACCTTAAATTATATGTAAGGAGCTCTTTGAAACGGGGAACGGAAGTTACCTACGAGATATTTTCGCACCTCATGGGTGTGTGTTGTGTGTCTGAGGCCTAAGGCATACCTCACGCGATTCCTGTCGCTGCGCGATTTGGCACAGTAGCGACTCTTCGTAATTCGTCATTAATGATATATTAAAGGTATGATGACACGAAGCTTGTGTATAAGCGCATAAAGAGTGAACAGCGAGGCGGACTCAACTGACTTTGGTCAGAACTTGCTTTGTTTACAGCAACTTACACAAGCTACCCAAATATGCGTCCGAGAAGTGCGCATGATAAATTTACAGAAATCTGGCAAATCGCCAAGTCGAGTGAAACTGGCGATTCGGCCGAATCGCGCGAGGTATGCCTTAGGCCTGAGGGGTATAATTAGGATAGCGAGCTTGCTGATTCCAGATGTTCCTTAGGATACAGCGCTAAGCTAAGCCCCGCCCACACATTGCACCATTTGGCATAGAACCAAGACATGCCAGAAAACCTGGCAATATTTGAGGACATCGAGGCTGGTTCAGCGCCAAAATGTGCTAAAAGAGGGCTGTCCGAGAGAAACAGCAAACAAGCAGTTTTACATGCGCCCTAAGCCATGCTTTATTTTTTGTCAAAATTCAAAGCTAAAAGTCGATTCACCGAAGCAAAATTTCGGCTCTGCACGAAAAGACAACGCAGAACCAATGGCATATTTGAAAAGAGCACTTTAGATATTCCCTAAATCTGTATTTCAATCGAAATTAAGCAGATAGTTGCTAAACATCAATTTTGCGATTCTGTTGAATCCCCGGTTTCATGATTGATGGATGCGTCGCGAAAGAGTCGACGGATGGGGGCGGGGCTTAGAATACACACAGACTAGGCTCTGTACACTATGCTAATTGCGTATCTGACTGTTCATGATACCTAAGATACGCTGCGGCAAGTCTTTCGGGGGTACGTAAGTTCCCGCACCTCTTTGAAACAGTGTCGGATTACTTGAAAGAGTGAAACAAGACGCATACCGCGCATAATTTTGTGAGGCATATCCATATCGCGAATCTCAAATTTAAACTCAAGATAAGATCAGTTTTCATAGAAATTCCAAACCTAACTTATCTATGAGGTAAGAGCTCGCTTTGTTTAAGTAACCACCATGCGTTTGTATAAATATAAATAGAAGCAGAGCTGGCCGAGAGATTAGCCCTTGACTACGGCGAAGAAAGTCACAAGTTCGGTTCCGCGGCGGGCCTAATTTCTTTAGCAAAAAGCTCTACCCACGATTCCAGCGTTAGGCTGCTCACCCAAAAGGAAGCTAGCGACAAGCCGGCTGAAGAAGACACTACGTCGCATCACATGCTCTTTTATGTCTCAACAGAATTCTCGTATAAAAGCTAGGGCGTTCCCCGGAGGCAACGCGCATTCGAGCCCGACGGATGCGGACAGAAGGCGAGGGTTACCGTCTCTGCAAGGTGAACGGGGACGGCCAAAAAAGCTAGTTTACCATAGAAAGATTTCTAAGTTTTCGGCATTACGTCTAGCCACCATCAACGTCGGTTCTCTCACATCTCGACATCGCGAACTTGCAGATCTTCTTAGAAGACGTAAAGTAGACGTTGCTTGTATTCAGGAGACCAGATGGAAGGGTGAAAGGGCATGGGATATCGGAGATGGCTACAAACTTCTGTACAAAGGAGCGAACAACAGCAAGAACGGTGTCGGTATAGTCGTCTCTGAAGCGTTGAGGAATGAAATCATGGCTGTGGATCGACTGAGTGACCGTCTCATGAATATAAGACTAGATACCGGGAAGGGAGTACTTCGAATAATAACGGCCTATGCACCACAAGCAGGCTGCGAAGAAGCGGAGAAGGAGGAATTCTGGCAAATGCTTGATGACTACGTCAGCTCGATACCACATGAAGAGATGCTTCTCATCGGTGCAAATCTCAATGGGCACGTAGGAGAAGAACGGAGCGGTCTGCAGAAGTGCCACGGCAATCACGGATACGGAACGCGTAATGATGAAGGAGATCGTATTCTGGAATTCGCTACAGCTCATGAATTAGCCTTGGCAAACACATACTTCATCAAGAAGACCAATCACCTCGTCACGTATGCTAGTGGAGGACGCAAATCGCAGATGGACTTCTGGAGTGTACGCTACAATGAGCTGAAGTGCGTGAAAGACAGCAAAGTCATCCCAGGTGAAGATTGCGTGCCACAGCATCGACCACTAATACTAGATCTCAACATACCAATAGACAGGAAAAGAAGGGCTACGACAGAAGCTGAAGTACGCATCAAGTGGTGGAAACTCAAGAACGACGCTCGTACAAGAACGCTAATGGAATCCGCCTTGCCAGAAATGGGAAGTAATCCAGACCATTCCTGGACAAATCCTGGACGAATCTGAAGAACAAAATCCATCAGATAGCTGGCGATCTACTTGAGCGTACGAAGCCAGGAAGAAGGAAGCTTGACAAGGAAACATGGTGGTGGAACGATGAAGTGCAGCTAGTTATAAAAAGCAAGAAGATGGCGTACAGAGCATGGCAAAAGACAAGGACAGAAGTTGCACACCAGAAGTACCTAGAAGCGAAACGTGAAGCCAAGAAGAGAGTCAGAGAAGCGAAAGAAGCATACGTAGCAGAACTGTATGGCAAATTGAGTACTCGCGAAGGTGAACGAGAAGTATATCGGATCGCTAGAAGAAGAGCAAATGCCGCAAAAGACGTTGAACACTTCTACCACATTAAGGACGCGCACGGAAGAATTCTGAGGAAGCCGCAGGAAATCAATGAAAGATGGAGAGAGCACTTCGCAACATCCGAATCCGTGACTGGACCAGTACCAGCAATCACTGAAGATGAAGTCCGTACCGCCATAATGAAGACAAAGAACGGCAAGGCGACAGGCCCCGACGACATCCCCATCGAGTTCTGGAAGTAGTGTGGAGAGGCTGGAGTTTCGTGACTAACGCGTCTTCTGAATCAGATAGTCGAGTCGAGGAAGATCCCACATGATTGGCGCAGAAGCACGACGGTACCAATATGGAAGAATAAAGGCGACGTAGCTGACTGCTCCACCTACCGATCTATCCGTCTCATGTGCCACACGCTGAAGATC